AATTTTCTTTGTGCCTGTTGAGGTTGTTTCAAATTGTGCTTTTGTCTATAGTATTAGTCAATTCCCATCATCCGGTGTCATCTACAAATTTAATATGCATACATTTGATCTCTATATATTCCAAGTCATTTATAAAGATGTGAAAAGCATTGGGCCACGAATACAGCACCAGATTATCAATGTTTCCCTTCAGGAACACTCAGAACCATTTATGAGCACTCTCTGGGTGTACGTATTCAGATAGTTGCAAATGTTTCAGATCCTATTACTGTCTAATCCATATTTATTCATCCAATATATTAACAATATAATATACTACTCTTACAGCATTCCTTTCATCTGTTAAACTAGTCACTAGTCACTCACCCCCCCCGAAGTGAATCTAACTTGTTCTTGACAAATTCATGCTTGCTCCAGAAAACGGTAGCATTCTTGGCATCATGGTTTGTTGACAATCTTGTCTATTATAGATTGCCCATTAGAGACATTAAACTAGCTGTAATTTCCTGGGTCAATCATCTTCACCTTTTTGAATATTGAGACTATATTTGTTGTTCAAGCCTCTGTCACCTCACCAATTTATGCTACATATAGCATAAATCTATGCAGGATATAATTGGCAAATGTAAACAAATACGAAATATGTCCTGATACAATATGTTTAATGTTGGTATTAACACTGAAAATGATATTGGTAACTATAACATTTATTTTCTTACCCTGGTAACCTTGGTTTGCATTTTTTTTGGCACAGGTAATAAATAAGCAATCCAAGTATAATCAATAGTACTCCAATTGCAATCAGTCCAGTCAAAAGTCCTATAACGTCAATCTTCTCTGCTGCTTTGCCACCTGCACATAAAGGAAAGGCTGTTAAGTGTACTTGATCCTCTCATTGTTTCCTGATCTACCCTAAATCACACTTTAATCCAGTATTGCCAGAAAATGTGATCACAGTATGCCAATAAATATAAGGAATAAATTCCTTAAGTTATTTTCTAGATTTATAAAAGCAATATACCCATTATGCATCTTTTGAAGTACAAGTATATCTCTTAAATGCTAAAGAATTAGGTGACAAGTA